GATATGCATTAGAAACAACTACAAATATACTAAATAGAAATCCGTCCAAAGCAGTAGAAAAGACTCCATTTGAGTTATGGACTAGAAAAGTTCCAAGATCTTATCTGAAGATTTGGGGTTGTGAAGTCTATATAAAACGTTTACAAGGCGATAAACTAGGCCCTAAATAAGACAAATGTCTCTTTATGGGTTATCCTAAAGAAACAAAAGGGTATTGCTTCTACAATCACGAAGATAACAAAGTGTTTGTAGTTCGCGTTGGTGTCTTTGTAGAAAAGGAATTTCTTTCTAAAAAGCCAAGTGGGAGTAAAGTGGTTCTTGAAGAGATTCGATACGAGCAACAAATGGATGTGGATTACACCACATCAAAGGTGAGGGCATATGAGTCAACTCAATTGACAAATCATGCGTCAGAGCAAGCTAATTAACTAGCAAAACTCCTATCGTCCCACTTGAATCTAATTCTTGCGAAAATCTTTAAAGAGTTGAAAATAATATTTCTACTGTTGCTACAACCGCACGTAGGTCAGTCACAAAGTTTGTTGATGTTCTACTAACTGCAGATTCCGAAATTTTCCTACTGGAATGTGCGAAACCTACAACCTATAAGCAAGCTTTGGCGAGCCTTAACTCTGAAAATGGCTTAAGTCCATGAAATCTGAAATGGACTTTATGTCTGAAATTGATGTGTGGACCCTAGTAGACTTACCTAATGGGGTAAAACCTATTGGATGCAAACAGGTGTACAAGATCTGAAAGGAATGGTGTCCTTCCAACAAGTGTATTCTTCCGATAGAGGGTTCAGAATAATTACAGAGTTAATTCTTCAGTAAGATCAAGTGATCGGAATACTTAGGTGGAGGCCGCTTCCGATCAGTAATATCAAGGTACAATTGATATTACAGCTTAATCTTAACTGAACCCTTCGGGTCGAACCCAATCGAATCACCGATCCGAGACGACGAATTAATCCGAAAGGATTTAATAAGTCGACAGAGTTTTACGAATACAGACGTCAGATATCGAGCCTAGGGCGTCGAGACCGAGCATCGCAAAATCACAAAGCGACAAGTATGAACATAGCCCTAGCACCACACTGGCCTAGCCTTTGGTCCTCATTTGGCTCTCTCTATTATTGTGCCATGTGTCGATTTGTGATTGAATTGATTAATCATTTAATTTTGGAATTAAATAATTATCATTTCACCAACTCTCCCACATTGGTGGGAGATTGAAAACCAAGGATCCATTTCCTTATAAATACCCTTCAAGGGTGTTGGGAAATGAACAACCTTGAGTGGAATTAAAAAGGCAACTCTTGTAATTAGAGTAAACCTTTGATTCGTAAAACTCATAGTTTTGTTTGTCCGGGTCTTGACTAACCTTCAAGACTTGGGATGCTCGGGTCGGGTCGAGGGTACAATCCGTCGGAGATCTCGTAGTTTCGGGATTTTGAAGTAAGAGCTCTTCGGGAGCGAAGCACGCAACAAAGATTTAATTCTTGTTCTTAGTCTTGCTTGATTAAGTTTATTATGCTTGTTAATTGCTTTAATTAAGGGGCGGGTCTTAGGGGGTTTCCTTCCGCGTAGTGTCGGGTCACTACGAAACCCTACAGCGGTATCAGAGCCTTGCTCCTTTTAATTTTTGCAATTATTTATTAATTAAGGTGTTTTAGAAGAATTTATTTTTCTAGTTCATGTTCTTCTAATTAGATTAGATGCTCATTTTAATTAATTTTAAAACTCGATTTTATTCACGATTTGGCTATCGAACCCAGATTTTGGCTCAAAAATAGTGATTTTTGGGTGGAATCAACATTCTGGAACAGATTCAATTCTCTTTGAGGGCTGTCCAGAAGCCAAATTCGAACCAAAAACCCATCTTTTCTGGGGTTTTTCGTTTTTCAACGAAAATTTTAATTCTTTTTAAGCCTTGATTAATGCAAGCATTACAAGGTTAGATTAAATGCACATTTGCATCACTAATCTACTGGTTTTAAAAATATTCTTAAGCATAATAATCGAGTTTTTATTAGTGCTTAAGTTGATATACCATTTTTCACATAAACTTGTTTTTCACAAATTTTGCAAATAAATTGCAATAAAATGTGAAAGCTTGTTGTGAATTTGTAATTTTAAGTTCCTATAATGATAAATTTCAAATCTTTAAAGGTTTAAATGATTGGAACCCTAACCCTAAATTCCATATTGAACAAAGTTTGGATTTTTCATGTGTGGTTGATTAAAATCCATCAAGTTCAAATACTTGTGAGTAAAATTTGATTAATCTTCATATTGGAAGATGTAATCTTAGTATTTAACACAAGTATGAAAGTTAGAAAAAATTTCATTAGATGATTAGTTTATTTTTCCAACTCCCATTTGTCAAATCCATTATTAATTTGCATATTGGCAAGATTAATTATGGACATAGCTCATTTTATTTTAAGCATCAAGAAAGACCTAATTTTGTTCAAAATAAATTTTTTTTGGATAATTTAGGCTTGTGCACCAATAAAAATAAGTTTATTTAAGTCTTATTTTATTCTATTTTATTTTTCCTCAAATTAATTCTAAAGTGTAATTTAGAATTAATTTTGTCACGCACAAATCGGAATTAAATTCCGAGAAATGGCACGCAAATCAAGGCAAAATCACCCAAGCGCCACCAAGGCTAGCTGGGCTGCCTAGCAGCCCACATGTGGCTGCTTATGGTGCGCACAGGGGTGAGCCATGGTGATGTTGTGCACTGCTGTGTGGCGGGGAGGCCTCGGGCTGATGTGCGTGGAGCAATGGCAAGGGGGCTGGCTTGCGAGGGGATGCTGCTGGACAGCATGGCAGCAAGCACCAGCCCAGCGCACCACTTGCTGGCAGGCGCCAGCTTGCTAACCAGCATGCGTAGCATGCCTGGCAGGCTGCTGGTGCTAGAAACATGGCTTGCTGTGCTGGGCGCAGCATGCACCACAACACAAGGCATGGGCTGCCTAGCAGCCATGGTGCGCACCCACCAAGTTCTTGTGTGGGATTTTTGCTTGATTTTGAGCTATGTAATTTTGCGAAAATTTTTCCGTTTTAAATTATTTATGTAATTATTTTAACGAGGTTAAAAACCTCGATTTTTCCGGCTTTTGCAAAATTTTGATTTTGACAAATTTTGGGTTATGCCGACTTAATTAATCGGATTAATTAAGTATGGATGCGGAATTTAGTGGGAGATTAATAATTGCGTGAGCATTTTGCATTTAGAAATAATGGATTAAACAACTTTGACTAGTTTTAATTAGGCGGGTTAATCGGATTAACCACCTAAGTTAGTTACTAGTTTTGCGTGTTTAATTATGTATTTCATAAAATTCCATGGGCCATTCACAAATAGTGAATGGATGAATGGAAGATTGTTTTCAAAACAGGTTATTATAAATGGCAACTAGTGGGGCCCGACTAGGATAGAAAATACGGACTGCGTTCCGTTATGTATTTTTGTAAATCTTAATACGGTCTGCGAACCGTTAAGTATTTTTGTACTATTAGATTAATCTTAGTCATTCTAGCTAGTTTATTTATTTTGGCCAGGATGTCTCAAGACGGCGTTTCGATGAAGACGAGCCAAAATGAAAACCTATGGAAATTGAAGATTTCAAGGGGTCATGCTAGTTGCCAAATGCATCATTTTTATGCTTTATATATATATTTTGTTATTATATATGATTGCTAGATGCATGTCTAGGATTTCTATATGTTGCGACGATTAGTTAAGTTCACTTAAATCAACCAACATAGAAACCCTAGGTCCCTTAATAATATTGAGCTAAAATTTGCCGTTCCAAGAACAACACTTACCGAACTAATGCGCGTACGTGATGGACTACGCCAAAGCGAGACATCACTACTTCCCTAGGAACGTAAAGTATACTAGGTATACAAGTTGTCTTGGTTAAGCTCAACGATATCAGTAAGGAGTCCTTAGATGTCGTGGCAAAAGAGATAAAATGTCAAGGATGCATTAGATGCGACATTTTATCAAACCGAGAGTAGCTTGGAGCTATTAGCGATTGGATTGCTTACCTTCAGATATTTAATGATTAAGACAAGCCAAATCATGCTTAACCATTTCTTGATCTTTGGGATCTCGGAATCATTTTATTCTCGCCTAAAAAGGGACAATTTTTTAAATGCGTGGATAAAATGCTCAATAAGATTGAAAATATGCATGAACGCTTTTAAATTTCAACTTATTGGTTATATGAATGTTTTTTCATTTCAAATTCTTTCAATTGTAGAACAATGTCAGCAAGCAACTCAAACAACAACCAAATGTGCCCGGAACTCCCCGAAAAGTTGGCCTTTTCCTTAAAATTGGTCAACTTCAAGGAATGGGAGGAGGAACTCAGGAGAACTCTCTGGAATTGTTCCTTGGAGTATACTCTTGATACTCCCATTCCAAGCTTCTTTGCCAAAGGGATCATGACTAATGAGGCTCATGAAGAATGGTCTTCCAAATGCAAAAAGGTCTCACGACTTATGGCAAATTCCATCCCGGAAGATTGGAAGGAAAGTCTTACCTCCTATCTCCCGGACATGTTCCTCAAAGCACTTGAGGACGTTGTCAATGTAAGAGTCACCAAGAGTGACAATGGCAACTTTGATGGCCTCGTGTTTGACTTGCCTAGGTCACTATCAAACATGAGGATAAAGCCACCAAACGTGGGATGCCTTGCTAAGGAAAGGCGCCGACTTTGGACAAAGGTCTACAATGCCAAATTGAGACCCGGCATGCCCCTCCGACCTCATGTGCTTGGAATGACTAGACTCTTCAAACACATGCAGCTTCTCGGAATCCCATTGGAAGATGAGATGGCGGGGCATATCTTGCTTGCTTCACTCCACTCGAGCTATGATGCACTAAGAGTACATATAGCCGCGAGAAAGGAGACACGCTCCCTCAAGGAGGTGGTGCAACTTCTTAGCCAAGCCACCGCCTATGGAATGACCAAAAGGCCC